TGTGTGTGCGCGCGTGTTTTTTTGTTTCTGGGGGGGTGGGGGGGTCTGAAAAACAATGCACAATGGACAATCCCCTGTTGGCTTCCTTTTGGGCAAGGAAAACACGTGGGTTCTTTGGAGGTCCCATCCCATAGTGGCTTCCTTTCGGATTGTCTTCTGTTTCTTGTTTGCTTTTAGCAACCAGTTCTTCAACTGGATCCCAAAGGAAGACCATCTTCCGCCCTCCTCACATTTTTCCATGGAAGCTGACTGCAAGGCTGTTGACCCTGGGTTGTCCACCCCAAACCTGGCTTCTTGACCTTGGTTTTACCCTTTGGTTTCGCCCGAGAAAAAGAATAAAAGGCTCGAAAAGGCTGACTGAACTTGCGAAGGAGCAAAATCCGATCCTCCCATTGAATAAGGCGGCCTTTCAGGATCTCTCATGTGTGCTCAACCAACTTAGCAAGTGGGGGAAAAAGCCTCCAGCGATTTCACATGGAACCGCTCGAAGTTCGGGGGGGTCCTGGTGGAAGGCCATTCTCTTTCAAAGGGACCGGGTCCCGACGTCAGGTTCCATGTTAATTGGCGGGGTAGTTAAACCAACTCCCATTTGCTAAATATGTTTTGTCTTCCCCTGTTGGCTTTAAAGGGAACCTCTGTCGGGAATATGTTCTCAAGTTTTGGGGATGCATCCGCAAATGGAGGTCAACTTAGTAAGTAGGTAAAACTCGCAGTTCTAAGGGGTACTTCCGGTGGATGCCCTAATTTCAGGATGAAGTCTCGTTGCTGACTTGGCGTCCGACGCTACGTTCACCGCCACACGGTACTTCTTCTGAACTGGCTGGCACAGGTTCAGGACCTCAGCCCGCGTTTTTGGCACGCAGGAAGAACAAACTTGCGCCACACGGGAAAAAAAAACAGCATCGGAGGGCCTGGGCTTTTTGTTGGTCGAATCTTGGAGAGCCACCCCAGAGTTTGGTTCGGATGTCTCCCTTCATGTCTCGCTTCTGAATCGATGCAATGTCTGGCTAGGGGAGGGAACTGTCAAAATTGGCTCCCGTTGAAATACGGGCCTGGTCTCCTCAAAACGATCCCTTGAAAACCTCGTTTTCTCAAGACAGACAAATAAACCCTCCCAAACTCACGGCGGACTGGCAGAACCGTGGCCCATCTGATCCGAAATCTGAACGCGCCGTCCACTTTTCTACCGCCGGTTTAGAGCTCACGAACCCAGGCTGCGGCCCATCACATTCCAGGGCCACATATCTGAGCAATCGAGTTCATGGAGCGCAGTCCCAAAACGATCGCAGGTTAGGTTGGGCTTTTTCGCGTAAAAACCAAATGAAGCGGGTTTCAGTCGGGCACTTCAGAAGGACCTAATTCACGGGCCCGATCGTTGTCTACCTTGCAGGAAAACCCCAACCCGCATGGCCGGATGTCAAAACCGGCCGTCACGGCCAAGTCAAGGCCCTTCCGGGCCCTTCTTGGCCTCAGCAAGGCTGTACAAAGCGGGATTCAGCCGGCGAATTTCCGGGGAATCCAACAGCAAAACTCCCAAAACCACAGCGAGTCTCCGCCCATCAGATTCCAGGGCTGAAGCCTAAAGAGGCAATTTCAAGCTGCATATGTTTGTGAATGCCTCAGATCAGGGTGGCTTTGGGTGAAAAGGACTGAAAGGCTGTGCTGGAACTTCTGGAGTGTGTCAGCGAGGTCTCTCCACTGGCACAACCCATTGCATGGAATTAGACGGCGACCTCCACCTGACGACGTCGATTGGGGCAGCGGAAGGGCAAGCATCTGCCAGTGGTAGCGCGGCGGTAGCTCATCATCAAAGCGTTCAAGCCCTGCCAGGGTTGAGGCGATGGGGCATGAATGGCAGGAGTGTGTCCGAGATCAGCCGAAACAGCTGTTCTCATACAGTGAGCCAAACGCAGCAGGGTTGCTCCTTGTTAAAACCATGGTTTACACAGCTACTGTTTAAACCACCTCTTTTTGTTTCGGGTCTCTTTGAGAAGGTAGCCTGGGTCTTAAGAACTGTTGCAACCAACCATGTAAGCTCCTGTTGGTTTCTCTTCAACAGGGGTTTCGGGTCTGATTCCACACTCAGGGGAGCCGTTGAATGGCGTCTAATGGGTTCCGATCGCTTGCACCAAAGGCCAGTCATGCATGTCAAAGGAACCCAATGAGAACCCAATTTGGGCTCTTCAAATGGGCCCCAGGAATTTCCCATTCCCCTTGATGTCCCTTTGAACCCCAGAATCTGTGGTTCCCCGTAAACGGGTCGGCTTACTTCCCTCAGAAAAACGGACACGCCCCTTTCGGGTCGGGTCAAGACCTGCAGCCGGAAGAGAACCAGCAGCACCAGAAGCGCCAGGATGTTGTAGAGGATGGTCTCCTCGCTGGTCTCCCCCGAAGGCCAAACCGTGTCCATGTTCAAAGACCTCACCGCGTCCTGGTCGATGGAGGGAACCCTAAAGGAGTTGTCCTTTTGAAGACACCCTTTGCAATGCTGGGTTTACAAAAAAAAAAAAACGGAATCCCTATGTTGGAACAACGTGGTTATGGTGCCCCATTCCCATCCTAACTAGTTGTTCACTTTCAAGGAAAATATACCTTGGCCACTCGCGGCAAGTGGCAACTTCTAAACCTTGCAACTACCCTCCCGCCCCCTTTCACCAATAGCCTAAATGAAGGAGGTTGCAAAATAGACCCTAAGTGTCCATCATACCCCCAGAAAAGCAACTGATTCAGTGGTGGCTGATGTGCAGCCCCATTTTCCACCCGTGATCTTGTTGGTCAGGGAATCAACTTGTTGGGGTTGTAGGAATGTACCGGAAGGGGTTCTTCTAGGAACCAGTTGGATGATTCATAGGTTATGTTAATTCGTTTCCACTGAACCAGTGGGGAGGGGGGTCGAGAATATGACCCCTTGGACCCTGGCGGGTGATCTGGTCCTCGCAGGTCAAGACTGGGCAAATCCCCCCGGATGCCGCGATCTCGTGGGTGGTGCAGCAGAAGTCGCAGGGCGAGTTGTCGCACCTCACGGCAAACAGCTTCACCAGATTTGGAGCTTTCCCTTGACAAGGTCTCCAGACGCTTCCCTGTTAGATTTTGAGCCACCATCAAAACCCGGGTGGGCGGTACGGATCTCCACGCTCTCAACGACTCCCTCTCCCCAGTCCCAGCCGAGCAGCTGCGATTCCGGCTGCAGGCGCCAGCTGGCGTCGCAGCTCGGCTTCTCCGTGCAGGCGAACTCGTTGGCCACGGTGGCCTGCACCGCGTAGCGCGCCAGCATCAGGTAGCTCAGCCACCCGAAGGGCTGCGGCAAGTCCTCGCATTGAGTGGTTGCCCGGAAAACTCTCAGAACCCAACCCCTAGCCCTCAGCCAAGCAACCCAGAGTCGAATTCCCAGAACTCCCAGAAGCCCGAATTCCAAGAATTCCCTCAGCACCCCAAGAACCCCACAAATCCAGGAACCCCAACGAAAGCCCTAGCCCTAGAACCCTTAGAACCCCCGGGTCTGCGCATGTTCCTGAGGGTTTGTTTCTGCGGTTTTGTGTGCTTGCTGAAGGTTGCTGAGAATGCTGAGGGTTCTGGCGGTGTGGGGGTTCGATCGGGGGGTTCTAATGGTACAGTAGTGTTCCCAGCGGTTGTGGCTGAAGGCTGCTGAGGGTTTTGGGGGCTCTGAGAGGGGCTTCTGGTGGTCGCTGGGGCTGCTGATCCTACGGAAATATGTTTACGACTTCTCCCTCTTCGCTTTCACGTACTGCCACGCATTGCCACGGCAAGGTTCAGGTCACGCTTTCCTACGCCTTCTGGGAGAGGTTCACCGAGAAACGGTCTTTAGAATGAGGTTCAATTGAACAAGTAGAACCAAATGAACTTAACCCCTTCCCAGCTCCACACGAAAGGCTGCGGAAGACTAGGGAATAAGTGGATCAAGAAACATGACCCGGAAGACTACGGAGGGAGACTGCGGAAGACCACGGAAACCACGGAAGACGACGGAAGACTCCGGAAAACCCAGGGAGACTACGGAAAGGCTACGGAAAGGCTACGGAAAGGCTACGGAAAGGCTACCGGCAAAGGGGGGGAGCGAAGTTCATGTGGTGAGTTTCTATAGACGAGTGGATGAAGAAAAGCAAGTGAAGTATAGCCCAGGGCCGATCTCCAGGTTTGGAACACCAGTTGCAAATTGCACAAGCGGCCAAACCCAGATTTATGAGGAAACCAGGGCCAAGGAAGAGCGAGGTTGATTTGTAGAAACGGGCGGTAGCTTCTTGGCTCCAGTCTGTCTTGATGAAAGGCCTGCTAACACCCACCACTGTGGGAAGGCGAGCGACCATGGGTGAACAAGCACAAACAAAGAGACACACTCCATTTTACGTGATTGTTCTTGCCTAGCTGTCTGTCATGGAGCATGTTGACCCCCCAAAGCGTCTCCTTCAGGTGTCCCTTTAAGAACCAAGCACTAGATGTTTCTTCTCAGATTCTGCAACCAGACTTTCCCTTTCTGTGGATTCCCCCTTTGAAAGGGACCAGGACTTGGTTTCCCTCTTGGGCTTAACCTCGGGCCCTTAAAATGGTGGGCTTCCATTTTGGTGTCACTGTAAAACCACGGTTCCCCACCACACAAAAAGACACATCCTCTTCCGTCCCTCGATCCCCCACCAAACTACCAAACCCAACAAACCAACCCAACCCACCACCCACCACCCCACCCTCCTCCGTCTTCATGAAGACCCCGGACAAGAGCATCTGAGGCATCACCAGGCCCGGGGCGATGGACAAACCCACGTTCACGCTACTCGTGGCCGCCGAGACCGTGAAGCCCATGGCAGAGCCGCAGTTGCTGCACACAGCCAAGACCTCCCGAATCAAATCCGCACTCAGATTCCAACCGAACCGAATTCAGCGACGATCCCCGAATCCACAGAGTGAGGGGTTGCCTGGTTTGAAGGGAACTCAAAGGAAGACCAAAAAAGACAAAAGGCAAAGGGCGCTTTTCTGACCATTTGTTGCTAAGGGTGCTTGAAGGAAGGCCAAAAAGGCGAAATGGAGAGAAGTTGTAAGCTGAGACTGGCCATGAGGCTACATAGAAGAGAAGCACTCGCTCCGCGCTCTCGGCATTCAATCCGATGAGGGGGTAGGCGATTGCCAGGACCAGCAAGGGGAACGCGCACTGCATCACAGTATCCACGGCCACCTTGGAGAAGTAGAAGGCGGCCGGGTGGTACAACTTGTCCTGGGTCTCCCGCAGAAACACCGCGCGCTCGGCGGGGAAGGTGTTGATCACCCCCAGCAGCGAAAACATGACCTGGGAGAAGACCAAGAGGAAGCTGGAGAAGAAGCGCGTCTGGATCCCCGCCTCAAGAGATTTATGACTGGCAAACACCACAGAACTGCTGGAAACACCCTACTCCCGGAAAAAATGACAACTGGTCGCTGGTCAAAGGAAACTAGATGGGTGGGCATTTCCATAACACGCAGCCTGAAGTCCACTATTTCCAACTATGCGTTCCACTGTCTACTCTGTGCATGCCTGCGCACTTCACTGTCTACCTTCCCTGTGCATGCATCTAAGTATGCACTTCACTGTGCACTTGCCCTTGCAAGCCTCTATGCATTTCACTGTCTACTTCCCTGCGCATGCCTCTATGCATTTCACCGTCTACTTTCCCTGTGCCCTATGCGTGCCTCTATGCATTTCACTGTCTACTTTCCCTGCGCATGCCTCTATGCTTTCCCTGCGCATGCATCTATGCGCTTCACTCGGTGCTTGCCCTATGCGTGCCTCTGTGCATTTCACTGTCTACTTTCCCTGCGCATGCCTCTATGCACTTGCCGCAGTGCTTGCCCTAGGGGCCTCTATGCATCTGACTGTCTACTTTCCCTGCGCGTGCCTCCATGCATTTCACTGTCTACTTTCCATGCCTCGATGCATTTCACAGTCTGCTTTCCCTGCGCATGCATGAATGCCTGAATGCCTGAATGGGTAAATGCATGAATGCATCTATGCACTTCACTCCGTACTTGCCATACGCGTGCCTCTATGCATTTCACCATGCCTCTATGCATTTCACTGTCTACCTTCCCCGTGCATGCATCTATGCATTTCACTCTCTACCTTCCCCGTGCATGCATCTATGCGTTTCACTCTGTACTTGCCCTACGCATGCCTCTATGCATGTCACCGCGCACTTTCCCTATGCATGTTTCTATGCAATTCACAGTCTACTTTCCCTATCCAGTTGCGCTGTGCGGAACGCAACGATGTTACCGAAAGAACCCTTCGCAATGCTTTCGGGAAACATGCAGGAAAGCCAAAAGCATTGGCACAGGGGATTGGCACAAGGGCAAGGCCCAGCCGCCTAAATCAAAATAAGCTCGAAAAACGAAGCCCACCCTGAACAAAAGGGAAACCCCTTTAAAATAATTGTCTCGCCGTGCCGCCAAGTTGTTGTCCAACTGCAGGAAGATGAGACCAATGAGGAAGGAAGCGGCAATAGTCTGCATAGACCGCACCACTGTGAGCATCTTGTTGCGCTTCACGTTCACCAGCTCCCGGTGTAACAGGGTTGCCAGCTGGCCGCAAAACCCTGCGCGCCTGATGGATGAAAGTTTGTAGACAAAATGGGGAACCCCACAAAATGGTGTGTGTGTGTGTGTGTCCTTTCGGTGTTGCTTGACAAGAACACCGGGATTCCCTTGGCCCAAACCCCTCCCTGCGCCCAAAGTGCGGAAGGGGGGGAGGTTCCTTTGGCAAAACAGCCATCCTCCGCAGATGGAAAAGTAGCCTCAAACAATGAGGATCCCCCTTTTTGGATGGCGTGTTTTTTCGTGCGTCAGCCCAGGCCTCGGCGTCATCTGCAAATGCGCCGGGCTGATTTCTGTGAGCTCGGGCGCCGAGGTGTCCGACATCTTCCGCAGCCCGGCCAGCGCCTTGGCTGCGGCGTCCGCGTCCTCATTCTCCTGAAAAGGGAAAGAAGGGGTTCTCCTTGTGGGGGGGAGGGACGGTGAATACTGACTTTTTACATGAGCGTAACTGCTAATGATGGATGGCCTGAACCCTTGGCTTTTGTAGGTCAATTTAGGCTACACGTAATTTTGTCAGTTGCTCGTAATTTTGTCGGTTGCTCATAATATTCATTAAGTCCCCGAAAACATGCCGATGCAGCTAAATAGGGCGACCCCGTATGCTTGCTTCCCCTGAAAACCACGCGGGGAAATAACAAACATCACCTTCAATACCCAGATACAAAGGGAGGTCTTTGGGGCACAAGCAAACTGAGGAGGTTTGAACCAACTTCCCTCGCAGCCTGTGATAGCAAAGTAGATTTCCGTTTCGCCCAATCCACGCATTTAGGGGTAAGAGTTGGGCTAGGAGCGCTTCGAAGGCTACGTTTGGTATGTAAGGTTCTCCCGAACTTCCACAAAACAACCCAGATTTTCCTTCAGGCACCAAGCCATGGCTGGCCACGCGTTCATGCGCGTGGCCCTTGTCCGCCAGTGCCAAGCGGATACTTTCACGCAGCTGATGTTTCACGCACGGCCATGCATGAACGCTGTTTCCTGCCAGTGGCCCAGCTTCCCTACGCTGATCAAAGGAAGCCTACATAGCCCCTGCCTTCGGCGGGCAGTGCGAAGCATTTACAAGGAAACCCAACGAGAAGGGGAGCAGCTCCAAGAGCTTTGATTCCCAAACAAATCGGGATTTGTCTTTTGGTCCCGTTTGACCCAACCTTTACGAGGGTACCCTCAAAAAGCAGAAGTGAAACCCTCTAATCCGCTCAATGGATTTCACTTCTGGTGGGTCGAAAGAGACACTGGTTTCCTTGTTGGCTTCCTTTTAAGGCCTAAGAAAAGCGGACTCCCCAAAGAAAGACACATCCTCTTCTGCTGCTTTGATTCCCTTTGGTTCCCCTTGCTTCTCCCCAGACCTGCAAATGGAGGGTGTGAACCGGGAAACCTCCCAAGGACACCCTACGTCTTAGCCCCGCACAAGGTTTCAGCCAACGAAAAGACCCTCCCTTTTGGGGGACCCTCCTTTGAGACCCTCGGACCCACTCCTTGGGCTGCTCCAAGACGTCCAGCAGCAGCTCCGGCAGCGGGGTGCCCTCGGGGCACGGGAAGCCCAGGCCCTGCAGCGAGGAGCGGAGCTCCTTCACGGGCCCGTAGTACGCCACCCGCCCCGTCTCCAGCAGCAACACCTCCCCGCGAAGCGGCGGAGGGGGAAGCGCGTCTCATCCATTCGGGGAAGCGAAGACGTCTTCGAAGAAATGAGAGAAAAAATGGTCATCCCCGTTAAAACGAACAGGGAGAAATGAAGATAGTTTTAAGCAAATGGAAGCAAGAGGGGTGCCTTTTTGGACGGCATGCAAAGGCTTATAGAATTGGACCCCAACAAATCGGGGATATTGATTTTGGTTTTCCTCTAAAAGGTGAACATGGTACTTTTGGACATGGGAGTCTGGGCGGTTTTAAGGTGAAACCAAAAGGACACCAACCATTCTGGCGCATGTCTCCTTCTGTAGCCAAATCCTATTCTCTCACACTCATGTGGAGATGTGTCAAAATAGGGTTTCGGACCCTAAATGGTGGAATCCTCGCAGATTCTCTGTGAAACCACACACATACACAAAAGAAAAGTCCTCTCCCATGTGTTAACACCCAGACTAAAGCCAAAGTTGGAAAACAGGTTCTTTGCAGCTCTGATTGCAAGGTTGGTTTCAAGGGAAACCAAAAGGAAAACCGCGATTTGGGGTCACCGTACTTTGACGCATACCCAAATGTGTTGAAGCAACCGACCGGGAAACCAAACGTGAATCCTTAGCTGAAGCTTGTTTTGGCATGAACCTACATACTTCCCCGATAAAGCCTGTTCTAAAAAGAGAGGTTCTTTCAGGTGTCACTGAATTTCCCCAAATCAAAAGTTGCGCAACTTACTGGTGGTGTCTGTCGCCACTTTTGGGAAGGTTCCAAAACGGGAAATGGCTCGGAAACCCTGTCTGTGCACTGGGTGTGGCTCAAAACTAGAGAACTAGGGAAAACCGCAGGTTTACTCCTGTTTTTTCACTGGAAATGCATGAAACCCTGCTGCTTTTCCATCAACCAACGCGGTTCACCACCATGTTCCACTACGAACACGCCACTGACGGGTGTTTTTTTGGTCTGAACCGACGCCGGTTTCGGCCATGGGCCATCGGATCTTCGCCTTGTCGAAGCGTAGGAACACCGCCTCGGAGGGTTGGTGGATGGTGGCCACCACCGTGCAGCCTCCGATTCGCATCCGCGCGAATCGCGATTCGCAGTGGGGCGCCGGTTTTTTACGCCCCGAATGGGTGAGAAAGCCGCGGGGTTTGGTGGGAGAAAAATCGGGGTCAACCACATTTGAACAGGTTGGATGGGAGAAAAACCCAGGGTTTTTCCTCCAAGTCGACACTTGAACGTCAAGTTCTAACCCCACAACTTTCTGTTTGACGCTCTCTACCTGCCTCTTGATTTTTGCTACCTACATCTTGATTTGAGGTCCAAGAGAAAGGTTGGGAAGTCGGAAGAACTAACACCAAAGTTCCCTGCCTTGCTCTGCGATCATCTTCACGTCCCGCATCAAAGAGTCCGACATCTTGGAGTCAAGGCCGCTGGTGGGCTCGTCCAGCAGCAGCCTGTAAGAGGTTGCGGTTTCCCTTTGACCTCCAAAACAAGTGGGTGACTTGAAGCTACCCCACATGCAACTGTCCAAGCCCCCCAAACACACCTCCAGTTTCGCTCTATGCAGACCAGGTATGCGTTCTGTGCGTGTTTTGGGGGGAGGTTTGCCCCCCCCTTCGGGTGTGAAAAAGCATTCCCGCATGTTAACAAGAGGACTCGAAGTCTTCCACCAAATGTGGAAGGTGACACGCGGAAGCCCGAAAAATATTGCGGCTTGGAGGGCAAAACAAGTGGTCAAGAACCTCAACAGGTGGTTTTGGTGTGAGACTCATATTTTGGTCACGCAGGAAAAGCGACAAGCGGGAAAGTGGAGTCTTTTGACGATCCAACCATCAAACAGGGACTCTAAGTGGGAAAATATGGTTTGTTCGCTTTCATTTCAGTTGATGGTACCCCATTTCTCCAAAGGAGGCAAGTCTTGCTCTTCTTCCAAGTCCAAAGGGTGTGTTTCACCCCCCACCCCTGATAGCAAGTTCAGTCGAACCATTGGTTCATTCCAACAACAAAAAGAGTTGTCCTATCAGACCATAGTTTCATTCCCAACAAAAAGAAATGTGCTTCCTACCGAACCGAATAATAATCATAACAATCATAGTAGTCATAATAATGATAATAATCATAAGAATCATAAGAATATGAATGATCATAAGAATCATAAGACCATAATAGTCATAACAATCATACAAATCACAATAGTCATAATAATCATGAAAACCATAGTAATCATAAAAAAGAAGAAGAAAAAGAAAAAAATAAGAAGAAAAATAAAAATAAAAATAAAAAAGAATAAGAAAAAAAAAACAAAAAACGTAAGAATCATGATAATAATCATCATAATCACAATCACAATCATAATAATCGTAATAACCATACTAATCAAGAATCATAAGAATCATAATAATCATGATAATAATATTAATATATAATGGTAATAGTATCAGTAATCATACAAATCAGAATAGTCATAATAATGATGAAAACCATAGCAATCATAAAAAGAAGAAGAAAAACGTAAGAATCATTATAATCATACGAATCGTATTAATCATAATAACCATAAGAATCGTAAGAATCATAATCACGATACTAATAATCATAATCACAATAATAATTATCGTAATAACCATAATGATCATAAGAACCATGATAATAATAATAATCATGACAATCATGATAATAGATCAAGTCATAATAATCACCGAAACAATGATAAGATCTCAAACGTTACCATGCCCGTCCGAAGGGCAGGGAGGGCTTCCCCAGCAAGGAGAGCGCCACGTTGGTGCGCTTCCGCTCCCCGCCGGAGATGCCGCGCACCAGGCCCGGGGAGCCCACCACGGTCTCGGAGCACTTCTTGAGGCTCAGCTTTTGGATCACCTCCAAAACCGTGGGATCAAGGTGGGCACCAACTTTTGGCGGGTGAAGGGTAACCAGGACAACCGATAGGAAAACCACCTGCGCTTTGGTCCATTTGAGGTGACAGACTGGGGGAGTGTCAAAAAGCAAGAACAAAACCAGAAACAAAAGCAAGAACAAAAGCACATGCCCCTTTTCGGGGGGGAGGGGGGGTCAAGGGCATGGGATCAAGGGACCCACGTTTGGCGGGTTTTGAAGGAAAATCCCCTCTGGCTTTCCTTTAAACCAACCCGGCAAACCAAAAGGAAAACCATGGGAATGGGAATGGGAAAAAATATCTGGTTGGTTTAGGGTATCACAGACAAAAACAAAAGCACCTGGTCCTTTTGGGGGGAACCAATCGGAACCAAGGGCTACCTTTGGGTCCATTTGGTGTCAAAATGGGTATGTCCTTTTTGGGAAGCAACTTTTAGCGGGTTTTAAAGGGAAAGGAAATAGTTCGTTTAGGGAAACCAAAAGGACACCATGGTTACCAAGTGTTGGCTGGTTTTAAAAGTGGTTAGGGTAACCAAACAAGAAAAGCACTTGGTTCTTCTGAAAGAGGGGAACCAACTGTTGGTTGGTTTTAGCAGGAATGGGATCAAGTGTTCAAAAAAAAACATGGGTCTGTGTGTGTGTGTGTGTCGTTTTTGAAGATACCCCTTTTTTGGTTGGTGTTAAAGAGAAACTAAAAGGAAAATCGTGATTTTCCAGGGAAACCAAAAGGAAACCGCATAGGAAGGTATGGCGTCCAAGGACTTGAACCCAAAAGAATGGGTGATGTCCCTCTGGCCTTCCTTTGAACCGACCTCTGGGTCCATTTGGGGGCGCCAACTGGCTGGTTTCAAGGACCACCAAAAGGAAACCGTGGATTCCATCCCGTTAAGCCCCATTGGCAGCCCAAAATCCGGAACTTTCCCAACCCCAACATCACCTCCTCCACCGCCTTGGCCCGCTCGGCCTGTGGAGGGAAAGCACAGGAAAACCCACTAACTTGGTGGGTGCTGGTCGTCAGTGTGAATGGCCAAGATCCGGTACTCAAGTTATGGAAAAACGTGGCCGTCTAGTGGTGGACGATCAATCTCTACCAAGATCTGGCGCTTAAGTTATCACAAAAAAACATGCCGTCTAGTTGTCAATCCAGGTGTTGATACTTAATCGGTCAATCGACCCAAAAGAGTCAGGCCGGAGATCCAACGCAAACCAAAGACCCGGGTTTCGATTATGGCAAGCGGTCGGAAGAGGTGGTCTGTTCCCTCAAAGGATCAAAGGACATGGGTGAAACTTTTGTGAGTCCCATGACGTTGGTTGTTTATTCTCCGGGGGAACATGGGCAATGAGCGCCTTGGCTTTTTTGTTGGTCACTTGTTTTGGGCGGGGAGCCGCTTCCATCAGTCATATAACCATGGACTAAGGTGTCATGTTCATGTCAACCCCAGATTCAACTTGGCAGAGATTCTTAAGCCTTTTGTGGCTTGTTTCCCCAAAAAGCGGGAGATCCCCTGAATGGCACACCCCCGCATCGAATCAGTTCTGCCAGAGCCGTGAGTGATGGCCAATCATGACTTTTTCCATAGGCATCCGAAACCATGGTTTCTGTATGGGCAACAACCGAAAGGTGCCTGAAAGTGACCACTGGAAAGTTCTCAAAGCAACTTCCCCGCCGTTTCCCTTTAACTAGTAGAAGAGCGATTTTGAGGATGTCACTTCCTCGGAGCCCTGGTTCGTGCTTGTTTGGGGAAGGAACCGCCTTTGTTGGTTTTGGAAGTGAAAACAAAAGGGAACCGGGCCCCACGGATGTCCGTCCACTGTCCCGCAATTCAAACGGTTTCCCCAAAACGACATTCCTCTTGCCCAGTGGACATGGGAAATTTAGAGTCTCCTCTGTTTTTTTTCTTGTGGGAAAGTTGGTGAGTTCCCTATATCCAACATTGATCGTAGACTGCTATTTGACCAAACCTGATGTGAGCTTGGGAATTTGGGTGTTTATTCGCTTGCTCTCCGGTGTCTATTTGAGCCCATTTCAGTACTCCCCTGCACATACATAACGACACTGGACCGCCCCCCTCACCCCCCCCCCCCAAAAAAAAAAAAAAAAAAAGAACTTACTCTTGGGACTCAAACCCGCTGCTGGGGTTGCTTTCTTTCCCCTCAAACCTGTGACTTTTGGTTTCGCTGGCCTTGGACTGGGCTGGCAGGATGAAGGCGGCCGCGAAGCTGAGGTTCTCGCGGACGGTCAGCGTCTCGTACATGATGTCGTCCTGGGTCACGTAGCCCACGCTGCTGCGCACCTGAGGAGTGGCTGCACTTCAGGGCCCAAAGTCCAAAGCAAAGGTCTCCTTGCAGTAGTTAGGGGCCAACCAGCTCCACTTTTTCGGGGCCGGAGCCCAAACCTGGAAGCATCTTTTGTCTGGGGTTTACCACAACCTGTGTGTGTGTGTGTGCATGCTCTTGTGTGTGTGTGTGTGATGGTAACGGAACACACCATCCATTTCAAAACTTTCACACCCCAGTTGCTATGGAAAAAATGCATATATACATATATAGGTAGCCTAGAGGAATTAGTTTCGAAAGACAAGAAGCCCCTCTGGCTGGTTGGGACTTGCGTTTCCAGCCTTGTCGATGGGCTTGCCGTTGTACTGGATGCCCCCGTCCACCTGCCCAGTGGTGGGCCGGCCCACGATGCTGTTGAGCAAGGTGGTCTTGCCCGCGCCTCGAAAACTCCGCTTTGGGGGGGAGGGGGGTGAAGGGGGAAGCCTGGCTGTTGGGGCCAAAAAAAGAAAAAAACAATGCGGTTGGTAACCACCCAAAAAAGAGCCTCCGTCCCCGGGTTGGCCATTCAACCGTAGTTTAAACCACTATGGTTTAAACAATAGCCTTCTGTTTGGTTGGTTTTAAAAGCGAAAAAACGGACATTCAACCAACCTCCTTCTGGCTTGCTGTTTGTTGGGGCCCATGGTCTGTTGACTATCCCTCCGGCCTGAAGGGCCCATCAACGCCACCATGTCCCCAGACTGCACGGTGCAGCTCACATCATTCAGCAGCTTGCGATCCCCTTTCACCGTGATGCCCAGCCCCTGCACGTAGACGTTCATGGCTCGCGACTTGTGTCAACGTCACACACACCTTCAGTTGTTTGCCAGCAGCAATGCCCTGATGCCCTGAGCCACGCGGTTGGCGGTTAAAGACGTGTCGCATTCGCCAACTGGCACGCACCGAACAATTCATGGGAATGCAGTCTTGCCAAACAGGTCCATGCATTTCCCTATAGCTTGGTCCAAGGGTACCGAATACCATGGCGAACTAGGCCTGTCTGCTTCGATACCCTTTCAGGGGTTGTTTGGTGGGATCAAGATTGCCCCAAAGACCGATCGGCAAAAGGACCCAATACTAATACTGCTCGACCCTTGGGTCTTGCCTACTGTAAGGGCCCAGATTAGAATGCGGTTTCTGGGCACAAAACCACAAAGGAGATGACCTCATGCCCGTCGCCCGTCCGACAGTCCGATGGGGCACCCTGCCCTTCCCTGCACGCCACTCAGCTGCCCCAAGTCCTGGCAAATGTGCGTCAGCCTGGGCCGCAAAAGCCGGAAGCCGCGGGGTAAGAGGGGGGGGGGGGGGGCGGGGGGCGGAAGTGGGGCGCTAGCTGGAGGATGTGTTTCAGTGACATCCTCAAACAATCCCATGCCAAGGGTGAAACAAGGGTTCAACAAAGGGTGGCTCAAATCAAATATCCCCGGTTGCCAGCTAAAAACATCGGCCTTGCCGCTTGTAGACGTATTATTTTTCCCGTGGGTGATGGTTCGGTTGGGGGCATGTGTTTCAGGAACCTAGAGGAAGCGAAAGGCGGATGATTGGGGCTAGGGCGCTTGATCATTTGGATGTGAAGTTTGATGGGAGGCGGACCCATCGGTGGATGTCAGGCAAAATGGAATCAGATTCAAGTCTACCAACCACTTTTGAGGTGGCTCCCAGTCAAAAAAAAGATCATGTTCCCCTTCCCAAATAATGGTATGTTGATCATTGTGCAATCTATTGGACAATGCCAGCCAATGGTGACTCTGAGACCATTGTTCATTCACCAATAAAGTAAAACATGAAATCAGGAGAAAAAAATAAAAAAAAACTCCACCATTGGGTAAGCCTTCCTCAGAAAGTTCACAGGAAGAAACTGACAATTCAGATCTTGGGGTTCTCTCAAAAGCAAAAGGATAATTCAGAATAGTCCTTTTTCAAGAAAGAGCCAAGGTCTGAATTTACATACACTGAAAAGTACTTGACCCCCAAGACATTCCCTCTCGCTCACATAGGTGTTTGTTTTCCTTGTTTCCCGCCTTTTGTTGTTTGTTTGTTGGCTTTGTTTTTGGTGTTTGTTTGTTTGTTTGGTTTTTTTTTTGGGGGGGGGAGGAGGGACGTTGTTCCGTGAACAACCAAGCGCTTTGCTTAATGATATGTTCGGCATTCTTTGAAAGCTATCCAAAAGGAAGTCATGCATGCCGGAAACCCGTCATGAGCCTTGCTCAAAATGTGAGGCTACCGTCAAGGATGTAACAAAATTGGGCAGACCCCCCAAAAAAAAGGAAAAAAGACCCCACCCCCACCCCCCTCCCCGCCAAAAAAGAAGAAAATGGTAGATACTAAACAAATGCCCAAATGAATCATCACCTGGATAGTTCGACCAAACCTCACAAAGCCACAAGTTGTTAATTCTTCAACATCGGGCAGGAGATCGCCGTAACGGGGAGCTGAGCCCCGTCCTTCTCTTCGAGCCATGAAGAAACCAGGTGTTCGAACTTGTTACCAAACGATACATGGAAAGTTGCCGTAAAATGGGGGAACGCCCAACATGTCAACGGCTTCCTGTTGGTTTTCCCCTTGAGCCAACAAGAAAAGGGCCACCCTCACAAAAAAGACACACTGCAGGGAGTTCAAGCAAAGTATCAGGCTGGAGAAACAAACACGTCCCCCCAACCGACCCACATTCCCAGTAGCCATGAGAAAACAAGGGTCGGTTTTTCAGGGTTGTTTTCCTGAAGTAGAGCTATAGCTGCTGGGTCGCACCTTAGCGCTACACATTGGTAGAATCGTCTCAATGGTGATGCCTTTGTTCAGGTCTTGGTGCTAAACAAAGGCCGTTTTCCAAAGCTGGGCTGCCCTCAGATCCCCTGCTAAAAGTTTAACAATTGGTGGGGGAAATGGAAACTATCGCAAAACCCTAAAAACCTACAAAGCTAAGGGGATGACTTGGAGCCACCAAGAAAAATGCTAGTTGTTCATGCTCTTTCCGTTTCTGCTCAACATCCAAAAGGTGGGCCCTTATGTGCGGCTAACTCACGTCAATCCATCCCTGAAGATTCCAAGGCGTTTGCCGAACCCGTTTGCGGGTCCACTAAGCTTGTTGCCCGCCCAGTTGAGTTCCAAAATGGGGAAGGCCATGGGTTTACATCATTCTGTGGATAACAAACGAAGCCCTGTGACAAAGAGTGGCGGACAATGGCTTCCTGTGAACTCCCAACAGTTCTTACAAGCTTTCAATACCATAGGGTTGACGACCAAGTGAAGAAGACGTTTGGCCCAAACCCCATGGCAACCACTTGGGGCATTTCCACCTACTGGTGGCGCTTCCTTCCACGTAATCGCAGCCAAGAAAACGAGCTCCATTCCAAACATTCCGTAACTGCTGACCACAAAAAGGCTTGTTCCCATAGGTGTCCTTTTTGGGAAAATAGATGGCCCTGGGCCCTCTATTTTGCGACCAAATCAGCCACAAAGGACACCTATGCTTGTTCCAGTTCCCAGCCACAGGAGCTCTCTTCGCCGACCCGCGTCCCCGCCTGCGCTCGTGTTCGATCTGCCGCTCTGTGGCGGTGATGTTCTGAATCTCCTTGTGGCAGCTCGCTTAGCTGACTCCATGAATTGGCCTGGTTTCCTTCAAGGAAATCCCAAGATATGAAGAAAGACGGAGGTCCTCCATGATCTTCCTCCGCTCCTCCTCGAGCTTCTGTCTTGAAGCGCCTGCCGATGGTACCGCGCGTAGGCTGTGGGTGCTAAATTCCCCTTGACCCCTGGCAGCCCTAAATTAGCAGTATGACAACGCACACAACAGCTCAAACACTGGGATGTGCCCGAGAGGTGCACAAAAGTCAAGTCTGGGGCTGCTTTCGAAGCACTCTGTGATGCTGAACGCGCCTTCAGCACAAACCAACCACCAACTAGCTTAACAAACTTCCACCAGACCCCAAGGCCCTCTGATTTTGTTCGACTCCACGTGTGGACAATCGCCACCCCGTAAAATACCAAGCGCGTTGGGTGCAACCGAGCTTGAAAACCGCACCCTCCTGGGGCTAGTCTTTGACTGCGAAAGAAAGAAAATCCTGCTTGCAGCTGGGGAACAAGGAGGGATTGCTTCCCCTTTCGACACAATCGCAGAAGCTTGAGCCGGTCCCAACGACATAAGCATTGGGGTTTGGCACCCCTGCTTTTTATAACCTGTTTTGAGGCTGCTTGAGGCTGGCCTTTTTGAGGTGGCTTTGAAGGAAAACGAAGAGGAAACTGATCCTCTATACTGAGACAAACCAATACATACCATCTAATGAATGCTCGGAGTTTTGCATTTTTAAGTCTCTGTACGCCGCGTGGGCCATGCAACCGCGCCTTGTTGCTTTCGACCTTCTTGCAGGACCTGCGCAGGAAGAAGACCAGAAACCAGGCAGAGTCAGGTCATACAACCCCCTTGTTCAAGCATGCTGAAGACCTCTTGTGCACTTCCTCGACTGGAAGGAAAACCTCTTCCTTTCGGGAGTCGACAACTTCCTTTTTGGGTTTGCCAAGGAGTCTGCTGGTTTAAGCCATTTTCACCCCAGCCCTGCCTTCAGGTGTCTACATATGACCAGCAAAATAGTCAGAAAGGGCAACCGACCAACGAGCCCAAGACTTGTTGTTGCGCAACAACCTTCAACATGTCTCCTTCAAGGCGTATCCTTCAAAACTCCAAACCCTTGCACCTGCATAGCTGGTTGTAGGGTTTCCCAGTTGATTGAGCTACCCTGCAAAGTCGCCCTGATAATGAACTGAGTGACAGCAGTTCTTGAAGCGTCAGGGCTCCTTCAATGTTTCTTGTTGCGCGAAGTTGCTCGCTGATCTTTTCTCAGACACCAAGCTGGAGGTCATGCAGGTCATGGCGCCATGGCTCTCGGGCTCGACCTGGTGTTTGGATCCTCATGTTCTCACCTCTCCGCCATCTTACCTTGCAGATTTGGCTCAGAAACATGGCCAAAAATCGTTCTCCAATCCCAAGCTGTTCAAGTCACCCGAAGGTTTCTTGTGACTTAAAGCGCCCTCTGGTGGACATTGATTAGGTGGGGATGCATGTCCACCAACCCAACTCTTCAAATCTGAGTCGCAACCTGTGGACCATACCAAAGTCGAGTCGCATCTGACCAAAAGGTGTCCGAAAGGATTTCCCCGCTCGCAAGTTGCCGGGTGCACCATGGATCCACTTTTGGAGCTTCGGGGAACTCGGTTGGCACCCTGAGAATGGGGCAGAACCATCCAACAACCACCGAAGTGGCCAGGGCTCTGTTGATATACAATGTCAGTCTTACACACAGCCCCTGTGCAATTCCATTGGAAGGAGGGTAAACCGGTCCAGCAGAATGGCACCAAAGAAACTCACTCCCACCCCCCCACCCCTCCACCCCTCCACCGGCCCCAACCTCCACTTCTGCCCGTCTCTTGGCGGCATCAGCAGCCGTGTGCTCATGCCTCAGCCGGTCTCCAGGCCGCACAGGCCGTGAGTCCCGAAATGATAATTCTGAAGCATTCACAAGCCGGTGGGATTGATTCTCCTCCCAACAAACATGGTTTGGTGACACCTTTTGCCTTTGTTGTAGTGTCATTTTGCAAAGGGGTGCGCACTTCCATGTTAGCAGTGTCCTATTCAACAAGGGATCCGGTCACATCTTCCAAACCTGGAAGCTGACAGGTCGGGTTCTGGAAGACTATCGTCAATCGACCCACTCCGATGATCGAAGCCTGGTGGCCTTCTCCCCTTCTCGGCAACGTGAATTTTTCCCCTGCGCCTTCAGGGTGCGAAAGCGCACCCTGCCTACAAGAGTTGCTCCGACAACCTGGATGTCCGTCGTGGATCTCTTAAGAATCCTGACTTGTCAATCCGAGCAAAGGAATCAATGACAGGGCCCCGCGCCCAAAGTAAGCGAGCCTGTTGACCGTTCCAAGAGGAGAAATGAAGCTTGGAGGGCTCCATGCTAGGTTGGCGCAAGGTTACAGGGTGCTCGGAAACCTGGACAAACAGCAATTCTCCCACTGGAAGATGTCCAAACAACTTTTTTTAATTCTGGACCTGTTATCCATCATTTGAGGAATCGCCTGTCAAAAGCCCACTTGTTGGGCTCCGTACTGATTTGCGGGTGGCTTACCAGTGTGACACTTTTGGGGCAACACCGCCAGGCACCAATCCCCACAGCCCCAGCGGATTGTCTTCAAGTTCATGTCCAAGCTTCCCCCCGTGAAAGTTGTTTGGCAGGCCCAATCCGTGGACATGGCGTTTGCCGCCTCAGGCAGATCCAGGCGCAGGTTGTCAAGTCACGCCACCGACAAAGCTCACGGATAGGGTCCATGGAGGGTGGATACGCCCAGCACCTACTGCCTTCAAAATGTCACACAGCCATGGGTAGCCATTGGAGTCGCCTCAACATGCTGGGGATTGGCTTCTGTTCGGGTCAGCAAATGTTACGTATGGGATACTGCATTGCCCATGTGGTAGCCAGGAAACCCCCCGAAAGGTTTTTAAAGGAAAGATGACCCGGGTTTGTCTCAAAATGGAGGAACTGTGAAAATGGCGGTTTTCCTATTGTTTTCCCCTCCGGAGCCTATCTCGGCAGAAACCCCATCTA